TTTGAGAGGAATTTGGGAGTTTATCAGGATTAGAAAAGATAAAGTGATTAAACTGGTGACAGGCCTTACTGGGGTGCCCCTCTAGGATATTGTAGAAACTAAGGTCTTTTAATGTAGCAATTTTTTTTTGTATATGCCATCAATTCTGGATTAGAAAAAGGTATAGAATAAGTGTTCATTCACTAGTTTGTATTCTAGTTTATACTTACAGTATGCCAGAAGGATAAAGAGACCTATGTGATTTTACTCGCACCCGGAGAGAATTTTCTTTTTCTAATTCTTTATTTAATGGTATGCATTAAAACGTAACAGCATGACAATATGCCATCTGTGCATTCCATAAGAATGAAGCAAAAGTCAACGTATGGTAGACAATGCTGTGGTTGGGGCATTGATCATAGAAATATTTCACAAAACAACATGACAATTGGTTTTTATATATATATATATATATATATATATATATATATATATATATATATATATATATATATAAAAAGCTAAAACAAAAACAACTCTGTACGAGTACGTTGATATGGATCATACGGAATGTCCAATAGGTATATTAGAATTAAGCATGACATAGGCTTGATGGTCAAGATCTAATGACTAGTTTCTGGCCTTTTACCAGTCATGCTGTTGTAGTCAATGCACACCAAAGCACCATTTTATGGTTTTGAAGATGGAAAAAGAGAAATGGGGGGGAAAAAAAGGAGAGGGGGTGGGAAAAAAAAAAAAAAAAAGAGGTAAGTAGTGTAGACCACATGATATTCAAAGTTTACCAAAAGAATATTAAATGAAAATACAGTCAAAGAAGGCACTGCCCCATGTTCTGGCAGTGAACGGTCCCTCTGGATCATCTTGTCCAATGGACCCCGCATAGCTCTTGGTGATGTCGGGACCTTAGGCTGCTGGCACGTGGGGGAGAAGATGCTGTGGGAGCCAACCAGTCCTAGCAATGCAGAGGAGAGGATCAGGTAAGTAAATCTTTTCTATGCCCCCTATCCATAAACAAACAGTTATATTTTAACTATGTGCCCCCTAGTCCCACTAGTATCAAAATTTTCTTCCAGGATCTCATCTTTGCTATAGTTATTGGAAATGTGTTTCAAAGGAGAATAGCAATTCTCTGATATTAGTATCTGTTGTGGTAATGTATATACTAAGATTTATCAGAGTGTGTGACTTTGAAAAGTGTGACTATATCAGCTTTTCTTCTTATATGCCAGAATAGCTTTCCTTTTATTTCTTTGGGGCATTTAGGTCTTTAACGTTATGTACGATTATTCTTCAGTTGATAGTACAAGCAATCCCCGAGTTACAAACATCCGACTTACATTCAAATCATACATAAGAACAGAGGCAGTGTGACGTCATGCTGGTCCTGGAAACTGCTGGGCGTCCACCCTGCTGCTCATCACATGCTGCAACTTACTGTCCGGCAGACCTGTCAACAATTCTACATAACTGCATGAGCAGTTAGCCCTTCCCTTTGTTATCCAAAACATAAAGTGTTATTAAACCCACAACAATAAAATCAGTCTGTATATACAGTAAAACATGCTTGTTATACGCACTGGAACCTAAGGGGTTAATCCTTCACATTGTGTAAAAAGGCTGTTCTGATCCTGTCTTCTCTGATCCTCCCCTTCTACTGTCCCCAATCCATCTGATTGTACAGAGCCCTAGGAGGCACGCTGTACATGCCTAGTTTAATCTGTATTGCCAGAGATTGGCACGGGCCAATCAGCACTGTCCAGACAGAGGGTTATGCAGCCTCATAGGACAGCCAGAGGAGAATGAAAACTCCTCCTACAAGCTGTATCCAGTACTCGTCCGGGCACTGATAGAAGTCACAAAACTGCTATATACTGCTGATGAGAAAAGATGCTTAGCAATTTAGATTTACTAAAATAATTGCATTTCCATGTTCTATGTACAGTGCAAGACCAAGTATTGTGAATGCAGAGTCCTGGGTTTAGTAACACTTTGACCACTTGCCTACCGGGCACTTTTACCCACTTCCTGCCCAGGCCAATTTTCAGCTTTCAGCACTGTCGCACTTTGAATGACAATTGCGCGGTCGGGCAACACTGTACCCATATGACATTTTTATAATTTTTTTTCACACTAATAGAACTTTATTTTGGTGGTATTTGATCAGAACTGGGTGTTTTATCTTTTGCTAAACAAACGAAGAAAGACAAAAAATTTAAAAGAACAAACTTTTTCTTAGTTTCTATTATAACATTTTGCAAACAGGTAATTTTTCTCCTTCACTGATGTGTGTTGATGAGGCTGCACTGATGGGCATTGATGAGGAGGCACTGATATGTGGACTGAAAGGCACTAATAGGCAGCACTGATAGGTGGCACAGATTAGCCGCACTGATGGGCACTGTCTGGCATAAATTGTCAGCACTGATGGGCACTGTTGGGGCTGCACTAATAATCAGTGCTCTGATTACACAACGTGAGAAAAGTACTGCCAATAACCGGCAAGTGTGTTTTCATCGTGATCAGCTTTGATTGGACACAGCTGATCACATGGTAAAGGGCCTTTTACTGTGACATTTGATCAGCTGTGTCCATAGGACCAAGCGATCACAGAGTGCACCGAGTGCACGCCGCAGCGGGCGCGCGGGGGGCCATGGTTCTGGGAGGATGTTATATGATGCCCTCCCAGAGCTGGACATTAGTGCGGTCATCAAGTGGTTAAAAATATTTGACCTGGAGTTACACTTAAAAAAAATTTACCTGTTCCAGCTTACATACAAAGTCAACTTAAAGCAAGTCTAAAGGGTTTTTTTTTTTTTTTTTTGTAAAATAACAAACATGCTATACTTGCCTACTGTATGCAGTGGTTTTGCACAGAGCAGTCTGGATCCTCCTCTTCTTGGGTCCCCCGCAGGCTCTCCTGGCTCCTCCTGTCTGTCGGGTGCCCCCACAGCAAGCAACTTGCTATGGGGGCACATGCTGGTTCGAGCTGTGGCTTGGCCCCGTCCCCTCTTTCCTCATTGGCTGACTGGCTGTGATTGACAGCAGCAGGAGACAATGGACAGAGACCCCAGGCAGCCGAAGCTGTCATTCACATTGCTGGATTGCAAAGAGGCTCAAGTAAGTATTGGTGGGGGAGCTGTTGTACACAGAAGGTTTTTTTTTTTTTTACCTTCATGCATAGAATGCATGGAGGTAAAAAATCTTCAGCCTTTACAACCACTTTAAGAACAAACCTACAGTACCTATCTTGTTTGTAACCTGGGGACTGCCTGTAATGGAGAAGATTATCATGACAAAGCCCATATCAATTTCTTTAGCTTCATGAAAAGTACTTCCTCCACTGGACCTGAAGGTCAATCATTTTGTTAGGGATGACTGGACCGTTGTATTTACTCCCCTCCTCCCCCACCCCTATGCTGATACACCCAATGTGGGAGCCTTGGCTGCCTATCAATTACCTGGTCCTGTGCATTGTTATGGGAATGTTTACAATCACCACTGTATAAGTGATTAGTAAAGGTCTCAGATAATGTGATACTTTTATAGGGGAAAGAAGTAAATAATAATGTGGTAAAAGAAGACCTGCAGTATGCAAAAAACATATTTAGGCTAAGATGACTGGTACCATATCATACCTTACTTTTTGCAGTAAACCTACTAACAGCACTGCCAGAGTCCTCTGACTGTCGGGGCATGCTGTGATTAGGAATACCCCTCCAACCTCCTAAAACTCCCATCTAACAACACTGCACTTAGTGACCTAAACCCCGCCTGCACCCAAGGTAACTAATAGTCTCATCTTGCTTATACCATTCAAAAATGAATGATTTAAAGGATAAGTTCACCTACATTCAGATTTTTTTGCAAGTAAAAAATGTGCATTTACTATTTATTTTTTATTTTTTTTTTTTAATTTAGGAGCCTGGAAAGCATTGTACCAGCAATCAGCAGATCACTGGTACCATGCAGGACTCCTGCAGACTGTCAGTGTAAGCTGTAGGCAGTTTCACACTGACAGGAATAATTAATGAACTACCACAGTGCTCAACAGTTCATTGAGAACTACAAGCCAATATCTGCAAAGGACATCGGTACTTGTAGTTGATTCATTCACAGAACTCTGTATGGATGATGCGGCCGTGTGGGCTAGGCTCTTTTCAAAAAGTGACAGTTGATACTGTCACACAGAGGGCTCGGATTGCCGAGCTGCTACAGGAGCAGGAACACGTTACATATTCCACCCTAAAAACGGGTAGAAACATATAACATGTTCCCAAAGGTAAACTTATCCTTTAACCACTTCCAGACCAGACACTCTTTTACCCCCTTCCTGACCAGGGCAATTTTCAGCTTTCAGCGCTATCACACTTTGAATGACAATTGCGCGGTCATGCAACACTGTACCCAAATGAATTTTTTACCATTTTTCGGACACAGATAAAGCTTTATTTTGGTGTTATTTATTCACCGCTGGGATTTTTATTTTTTTTGCTATGTAAATGAAAAAGTCCAAAAATTTTGAAAAAGTGTTTTTTTTAAATAAAATTTTGCAAATAATATTTCATCATAAATCTTTGCCAAAATTTATTCCATTATCTTTTTAGTAAAAAAAAAAAAATCCAAATTAGTTTATAACCAAAAATTATAATTTTTAAACTTTTTTTTTTTTACATTTTTTATTTTATATTATTATTTTGTATTTATTTATTTTTTTTACATACGGTCACCCTAGCAGTACAGTGTCACCATGGTGACACTGTACTACTTGTGGGGGTGATGAAGATTTTTTTTTTTTTTACACTGATTGCTTTTACACCCATATAGGATGTAAAAGCAATCATTTCTCTTTCTCTCTGTCTGCATTCTTGCACTCATTGAGAAGTACTGAGTGAGCTGTGATTGGTCACAGCTTGTCACATGGTACAAGGCTGTTGTGTATAGCCTTGTACCATGTGACCTCTGTGATCATTCACAGATTTCACACGTAGTAAGCAATGATGTCAGAAGTGACATCTTGCTTACTACTTTGCATGTGATCACTGATTGGCCAATCAGTGATCACATGATCGGGACCTCGTACAGAGGTCCCGTCCGACGATCGGTGTTTCACTGTGTCCGGAGGACACAGCGGGCACCGGATCGCGGTGCTACGCGCTCCCAGGGAGCGCGCACAAGCAGGGTGCGGGGAGGCTGTTTATAAACGGCCACCCGACCCTGCACTGCCACCGTCCGGCCGTTTATATACAACGGCCGGTCGAGAAGTGGTTAAGGTCTTTCCAGAAATTAATACATTAAAAAGGCATGAGCTAATGAGTTGTCAGGGTGGTGTTTTAGCTCATATTGTTAACTGAAAATAACATCAGTGGTTTCAGTAGGAATCGCACCCCGGCTGTCACAAGTTTGCTAAAGAGGGGGATCCTCTGCAGAAATAATTTCATGCATGATTTAACTTTTCCCATACAATTCCTCCAGCATCTTGAATTTGCTAACTGCAGTAAAAACAAATGGCAAACATATGGTGGGAAAGTTCACAGTATTTGTAGTGCTTTGGTAGACTACAGATCTGTCCCTTGCCCATATAGGCAGAACCATCCTGAAATTCATAAACAATAATTAAGCTATAAATATGGTGTAAGGCTAGCATAGAATGGAGTCCTTTTAAAGTGAACCTATACCAAGGCTGTGTGCACTAAAGTATTTACATGTACTGAATAAGCAGTAAAGCACTTTAAAACAAGCTCTCATTAACTCCTCTAGTTACTGACATTGTGGAGAAATGGTCTTCAGTATCACAACAGATCATGACGTTTTTTTCACACCGTCACAGAAGAATAAGCTTTTTTCCTGTGCAGGGTGGTGCCCAGCGGTGCCTTGTGTTTTTACAATTCAAGGGACTGTTTACCTTTTTTAAAAACTTTTTTGAAATGTCACAAAGCAGGTGAAAAAATAAAAAAGGTGCAGTGCAAAAATATTCAGACATGCTGCATTTTGTTCACGCTTCCGTGCTGGGTTGTGGTGTGAATGGGGAACATAAAATACCATTTTTTGTGTGCCATTGCCGAGACCTGTATTTTTCAAGTGCAGAAAAGTGCAGGTATCCGCACAGGAGGGGCATTAACCACTTGGCGATGAGACCACAGTAACTTTACTGCTGACCGGCAGCTTTCCCAGGCACCAATACGTACTTGTATGTTGTGTTGCTCATGTGCACTGTTCTCCTCCTCTGGGGCACGCAGTGGTGTGATCCACAACCACTATGTCCCCATTGCACATTATTTGTTGCACAGCTCTGCCTGTGTTCTTATCCAGACAAAGATGCCTCTAGCTTCAACTCCCTGCTGGACTAGTTCTGTCAGTCACCAGAGCTGCCCTTCAGACTGCTCACACACAGACTAATGCCCCATTCACACCTGAACGTTTTTTTAGCCTGATGCTCTAAAACACTCAGTATCCAAATCCTATGTATTTCACATGTGGGTTTTCAAAAATGAGTGCTCAAGCTCTTGTAGCTTGCATCCTTACACTCCAAAAGCTACATGAGCTACTTTTGAGGCAGAATTACCCTGTTCTTACAGAGGCTACTTCTATGGCCTCTAACTGTAATCCGTATCAGTCTGATTTAAGGTCCTGTCTGTTTAGGTCAGACAGAAAGCTCAATTCACAAAGCTTCTATACAACGATAAGTACCTCTGTTTTAGCTTTGTGACTGTCATTTTTCAAATCTCTGAAGGCAACTGTCCCTTTTTTTTTTTTTTAAATATTAATCCTTACCTGGTGTGGTAGCAATATGAATTGAGTCTAGTGTCTCCTCACAAATGCTGCCCCAACAGTAATGGCTTCCATTGGAAAGACCTGACTGAGTACAGACTCTTCCTATTAGTGGGGGAAAACCTACCTAGTCAGACTGCTTCACTGAAGTCACTTCACTGGGCATATGTAAAGGTTTTGATGGGCAGGTTTCCTGAAAGTAGGTTAGACTTCTATAATAGAGTCTACCGGGTGGATTTACTAAAGGCAAATAGACTGCGTACAGTCTGACTAGGTAGGTTCTCTTCTCACCGGCCTACCCAAGTGCAGGCTCTCCCCGCTCCAGACCATCCTGAACTCAGCGGCTAGACTCATCCGCTCCACCTCTGCCACCCCCCTCTGCCTCTCCCTCCACTGGCTCCCGATTGCCCAACGCATCAAATTTAAACTTCTAACCCTGACCTACAAAGCCGTTCACAACACTGCCCCTGACTACCTCACCAACCTGATCCCCAAGTACCGCCCTACCCGTACCCTTCGCTCCTCACTGGACCTCCTTCTATCCTGCTCCCTGGTCTCCTCCTCCCATGCACGACTGCAGGACTTCTCCAGGTCCTCCCCCATCCTCTGGAACTCACTGCCCCAATCCATCAGACTGTCGCCTTCCCTCTTCACATTCAGGCGCTCCCTCAAAACCCATCTCTTCAGGGAAGCCTACCCCACCCTCACCTAACGGCCATTCTCCCTCTTTCCTCCCACCCCTCATTCCCCTCAGCCACTTCCTACTGTACCTTTACCCCCTCCCTCCTAGATTGTAAGCTCGAAAGAGTAGGGCCCTCTTACCCCTCGTACGTTGTTTGTTATTGTTTTACTGTGCCATGTATTGTCCCCCCCCTCTATTGTACAGCGCTGAGCAAACCCTTTGGCGCTATATAAACTCAATGTAATAATAATAATAATACTTTGCACGTGTGGTTGCTCCAGAGTTTAGTAGATGAGGGATATCTCTGCTGACTTCCATCATCCAATTATATGCAAACAAAAATGCTGTTTTTTTTTTTTTAATTTTCTTTGTATGTGATTGGGTGTTCTTTGCAAAATGAAGCTTTACCTCATGTACTAACGCCAGTGTTTTCCATTATGTACTGTATGTCAATGTTATATACAAATTGGTTATAGGGTCTCTGTCTTATATGCCCACATCCTGTATAATACTTGTACAATAAAATAATTTTTTGCAGCAGTGGTCTTTTTTGTGCATATAGAGAATGGCAGAACTACATTACTTCATAACCTCATAAAGTTTATATATTAAAATATATGTAGCACCACATCCAATATTTTCAGAATAGGGTTCAAAGAACTTTTTTTCAATTCAAAATATGCATGACTGCTTAATACGTTTCGACTGTTTTAACCTCTTCATCAGGAGCAAATGTGAAAAGTATCTGTATAACAGAACCCAATATCATAAACTCACAGGGTTTTCAACAGTTTGATGGAATAAGGACACTCAATACCAGGAAAGGGGCAACTGGGGGACAACAGGATGAAAATATGGGTATATTTAATCTCAAAAGATATTATTCTTGCTGGGGGGGGCCATCAGCAATCTCGGATGTTTCAACAAAACATAGTGTAAGGTCATGATAGTCAAAAATTATCCTATGAAATTTCTCACCACCATAAGAGATGCCAAATATAAAAGGCAAAATTTTCATACAGAGGATTATGCTCCTTATTTGGTTTTGAGATAAATCCAATCATGCAGGAAATACTATATCAGCAGATTCAGATGTTTAGCCAGAATGTAATGTAATCCAAATAATCAATAACGGGTACATCAAATCGGTCCCTCCGTTTTGATGAGAGATGCCGGAGGGACCTGTTTGACTTACCTTTTGGTTGTTAATTATTTGGATTACATTACAGGCTAAACATCTGAATGAGCAAGCAGAGGACAGCTGCAGTGTCCCAGGGATGCTGTGACATGGAGTTGACTATGAATGTTTTATTACTATCCCCATAATTCTTCAAATATGCCATTTAAAATTCTTTCTTTTTTCTTTTTTTTTTTTTCTTTTTTGTTAAACAAACTTTATTCAAGTTTACATCCAGTGAACAGAGTCAACAGAGGTAGACAGAAAATTAAAGCAGCATACAGCTCTTCATTCATAACATCACCAAAGGGAAAGCTGAGGCTCCATTGGCCCCAATTACATGTAAAGAAACCTTACATAGACATTAGACATAGTCCCACCATTCCATGGTGAAATAGTCATCGCCCTTCACAATCAAAGTTTTCCAGGAGAAAATGAAGTAAGTATATCCCAAGGGCCAAGCCATACTAGACCCAATTAAATTATCTATGGATGAGAGGCAGTCCCCAATTGAAAGAGTCAATGAAGAGCGCAAGGAAGCTGAAAGGAGAAGGAAGAAAGAGAAAGAAAGGAGGAAAAGAGAGTGAAGAAAAAAAGGCTCATGACCAAGGGCATCAACAAGCCACAACCACGTGCAATGCATGCTGTCGTAGAGCAGTTGCAACATGACCCCATTCCCCTGGTAGGATACCATCTGCTTCAGCCACATAATGTGTACAACCCTGACTGTTGCCCTTGCAGCTGTAGGGGGAGCAGTTGGGGGTGGTAAAATTGTGACTCAACTGTGTGGCTTTACAGTCCCCCAGACTCATGTGGACAAGCTCTTTGTTCACTTTGTTCACACTTGTGCTGCTGCATGCTATGTGTAGTACAGCCCAATCATTTCAGTGGGCAGCCTTACCTGCAGAAATGCAGGGAAGGAAGTCTCCAACATTTTGTAAAAATATAAACATACTAAAACACACCGTGTTTGCCAAGATGTGCAATTCCAAACAGCTAGACGGGGGGCGCCTTGACTGGATTTGAGAAACACCGACCTAGCGAACATCTCCCCTCTTTGTAAAGATAGTTGGGGGAGGAGGTTCTCTAGTCCAAATCAGGCATAAGTAGCCTAGAGTGACAATGCTGCATACTCACAGTACAGTGAGTGAGAGTTATCTCCCTTGGACAGGGAATGTGTTACTGACAGGATCACCAGATAAAAATAAAGGAAAGATGCCTGAAGAAAATACGAATGCAGCCACCACATCTTAAGGCTGGCCATAGATGCCTTGTGTTTTTTTTGATCAGCTAGAAGGATGATTGGGGAGAAAAAGAAAAAGGGATTGCCCCATTTTTGCAATCCAGGTGGATGGAAGAATCCTCCCCGCTATGCCATTGTGTTCTGACAGTGAGACTCTTCTGTCAGAATACACTGATCAGCGGCTGAACGCCAAAAGTTTTCCAACATTTCTGCACGTCAGAAATCAGTCATTAGATCGACTTCTATCACAACCATAGATTAATCGAAATTCAGCCTGGTCAGCTTCTATGGGCAGCTTAAAGACTGGTACATTTTTAGTTTTAGGTTTAGAAGCACTTCAACACTGGGGAAGGGAAGAATGAGGAAATCCTTTCCTTCTGGCTGAAGAATATTCTGATGACATCATTCTCCCAGATTGTTCTCTTCGGCAAACTTTAAAAGATTAAAAATAGGCGCTATCACAAGAACTACTTTTAAATGAGAAGTAAAGTTTAAATGATGAAGTATGGGAATAGAAAACAAACAAAACACATACTCTCCTCCATGCTACAGCTTCAGTCTGAGGCTGCAGCTGGCCCCCGCAGGCTTTTAGCCTAAGAACTCAGTGATCACATGACCACTGATAGTTCAGTTTGTGGTTCGCATGGAACTGAGAGCAGTGACTGTAAGTCACTGCTCTTTTCTTATCCCCCTCCCGCACTTACTAGAGTGCTGGGCTGGGGAGGGGGTGGACAGAGCTGGTTCCAGCTCTCAGCTCCTTGCTGAAAGGCTGAGCTAGCTGCTGATGAGGCATCTGAGTGGATTCCAACAATATGGTCAGGATCCTTCCAGAGCCTGGAGCAGCTCTGTGACTTCAGTAACTGCACTTCTGTGACCCACAAGAGAAGTATGGCCAAAAATCTTTGACCATACTTTTAATTGTTGGGGTCTGTTTATAAATGTTCGCATGCAAGATTCATCCAACCTTTCACCCAGGACTCGCTCTTTTCAGATCCAATTGGTTGCAAGTTGTGTGAATTTTAAATGAAAAAAATATATATAAATAGACCCCTAGATGTATGTTATGCCATGTAGGGAAGCTATTCAGTTCAAAAAATACTGATGGAGTGATACAGTTAGGTCCATATATATATACTTGGACACAGGCAAAATTTCCATACTTTTGGCTCTGTATGCCACCAGAATAAATTAAAACAAAACAATCCAAATTAATTTGAAGTGCAGACTTTCAGCTTTAATTCAAGGGGTTGAACTTAAATATCGAGTACAAATTTTAGGAACTGTAACCGTTTTTATACACAGTCCCCCCATTTTCAGGGACTCAAATGTAAGTGGACAAATGAATATAATCAAATAAAATGTTCATTTTTAATATTTTGTTGTCCTTTACTGTCAGTGACTGCATGAAGTCTGGAACCATGCACATTACCAAATGTTTCCTCCTTTCTAATGTTTTCCAGGTTCTAACTGTAGCTGTCTTCAGTTGTTCTTTGTTTGTGGGTCTTTCTGCCTTTAGTTTTGCCTTCAGCAAGTGAAATGCATGCTCAATTGAGTTGAGATCAGGTGATTGACTTGGCCATTGCATAATATTCCACTTCTTTTCCTTCAAAAGCTCCTCGGTTGCTTTTGCAGTTTGTTTTGCATCATTGTGCATGTGTACTGTGAAGCACTGTCCAATCAACATTGCTGCATTTGGCTGAATCTGGGCTGACAGTATATCTCTAAACACTGCAGAATTCATCTGGCTGCTTCTGTCTTCTGTCACATCATCAATAAACACCAATGACCCAGTGCCACTGGAAGCCATGCATGCCCATGCCATCACACTGCCTCCATCATGTTTTACAGATGACATTGTGTGCTTTGAATTATGAGCTGTTTTAAAGCCTTCTCCACACTTTTTTCTTCCTGTCATTCTGGTACAGCTTAATCTTAGTTTCATCCATCCATCCAAGAATGCTTTTCCAGAACTGGTCTGGCTTTTTTAGAAGTTTTTTGACAAAATTTAATCTGGTTTTTCAATTCTTCAGGCTTAGGTATGGTGTGCACCTTGCGGTGAGCCCTCTGTATTTGCTCTTGTAAAGTCTTCTCTTGATTGAAGACTTTGACAAAGATACACCCACCTCCTGGAGAGTGTCCTTCACTTGTCTGGATGTTATGAATGGGTTTTGCTTTACCATAGAGAGGATCCTGCAATCATCCACCACTGTTGTCTTCCGTGGACATCCATGCCTTTTATATGTTGCTGATCTCACCAGTGCATTCTTCTTTCCTCAGAATGTACCAAACTGTTGATTTGGCCACTCCTAATGTTTCTGCTCTCTGATGGATTTGTTTCATTTTTGAAGATTTACAATGGTCTGTTGCACTTGCATGGACAACTCCTTTGAACACATGATGTAGGTTTACAGCAATAGATTCCAAATACCACACTTAGAATGAACTCCAGACCTTTTACCTGCCTAATTAATGAAGAAATAACAAACGAGTAGCCCACACCTGGCCATGAAAAAGCTTTTGTTTCAATTGTCCAATTACTTTTGGTTCCTTGAAAAAGGAGGGATGGCTAATCTTAAGAGCAGTAATTCCTAAACCCTTCCTCCAATTTGGGTGTACATACCCTCAAATTAAACCTGAGAGTGTGCACTTTCAGCCCATATCCATTATATAACTATAGCTTGAATATGTTTTGGTACCTGAAAAAAAACTAAAATTGTGCCTGTGTCCAAATATATATGGACCTACAGTGGGGCAAAAAAGTATTTAGTCAGCCACCAATTGTGCAAGTTCTCCCACTTAAAAAGATGAGAGAGGCCTGTAATTGACATCATAGGTAGACCTCAACTATGAGAGACAAAATGAGAAAAAAAATCCAGAAAATCACATTGGCTGATTTGGAAAGAATTTATTTGCAAATTATGGTGGAAAATAAGTATTTGGTCACCTACAAAAAAGCAAGATTTCTGGCTCTCACAGACCTGTACCTTCTTCTTTAAGAGGCTCCTCTGTCCTGCACTCATTACCTGTATCAATGGCACCTGTTTGAACTTGTTATCAGTATAAAAGACACCTGTCCACAACCTCAAACCGTCACTCTCCAAACTCCACTATGGTGAATACCAAAGAGCTGTCGAAGGACACCAGAAACAAAATTGTAGACCTGCACCAGGCTGGGAAGACTGAATCTGCAATAGGCAAGCAGCTTGGTGTGAACAAATCAACTGTGGGAGCAATAATTAGAAAATGGAAGACATACAAGACCACTGATAATCTCCCTCCATCTGGGGCTCCACGCAAGATCTCACCCCGTGGGGTCAAAATGATCACAAGAACGGTGAGCAAAAATCCCAGGACCACACGGGGGGACCTAGTGAATGACCTGCAGAGAGCTGGGACCAACGTAACAAAGGTTACCATCAGTAATACACTACGCCGCCAGGGAATCGGATCCTGCAGTGCCAGACGTGTCCCCCTGCTTAAGCCAGTACATGTCCGGGCCCGTCTGAAGTTTGCTAGAGAGCATTTGGATGATCCAGAAGAGGATTGGGAGAATGTCATATGGACAGATTAAACCAAAATAGAACTGTTTGGTAGAAACACAACTCGTTGTGTTTGGAGGAGAGAGAATGCTGAGTTGCATCCAAAGAACACCATACCTACTGTGAAGCATGAGGGTGGCAACATCATGCTTTGGGGCTGTTTCTCCGCAAAGGGACCAGGACGACTGATCCATGTACAGGACAGAATGAATGGGGCCATGTATCGTGAGATTTTGAGTGCAAACCTCCTTTCATCAGCAAGGGCATTGAAGATGAAACATGGCTGGGTCTTCCAACACGACAATGATCCCAAACATACTGCCCAGGCAACGAAGGAGTGGTTTCGTAAGAGCATTTCTAGGTCCTGGAGTGGCCTAGCCAGTCTCCAGATCTCAACCCCATAGAAAACCTTTGGAGGGAGTTGAAAGTCCGTG